TAGGAAGATAGACAAGGATAGAAAGACAGACAGGCAGAGAGAGAGAGAGGGAGAGACGGAAAGGGCCAGACACTCTTTAAAAAGAATTAAATCAGAAGTTAATTCTTGGTTTGGGCTGCTGGCACAGCTGGCAGAATCAACTCCCAAGTTGATCCTTTGAGGCTGGCGCATTGAATGGGGGCTGTTGCTGAAGAATTAACTTTCGAGTTAATCTTATTCAACTCTTGTATTCAGTCTCTTCCGTCCGACCCCACGTTGCTGGGTGAAAAACCAGCTCTATTTAGGCGAGCCATAGAAAGCAACAACTGTTAACGCGCTCCCACCTGGTTTTAATTTGCCTGAGCACCATTGGGTGGCTGATTCTGGGCTGCCTGCTGCTGCCAGCTGGCCTACACAGTGTAAAGGGAACATTCTGCGCAGACTCCAGCATTCAATATGCCTCAAATGGATTGTATAATTGTAGACCATTTAAGATCAAACTGGCCATTCTCCCCGACACTTCTGCAGTCAGGACTCAAGGTCCATGACTCATGACTTGGTGACCCCAGGACCATGGCTGGTGGCTGCTGGACCCTGAGCACGGGCCCAGCGGCCACGGTGCGCGCAACCATTGCGCGCCTGAGGAAGCAACTGCAGGGCCGGGCACCGAGGATGGGGAAGGGGACAGTGGCTAGTAGCATAGGGGGTGGCGTAATTAATTTTTCCAGGGGTCATGTCACCTACCGGGATAGTTTTTTTGGAGTAATTTCGATGGAATAATATTTAAGCTAGGTAGTGGTTTAAGGTACTACCCTGGAATTCAGAATAATTTTAGAATACTTTTGCAAGCCACCCTCTATCTGGCTGATGCTGGCTGTGTCAATCTAACCCGTCCGTATTTGCAACGCTGCTCTTTTTATCTCCTGTTTCAGAGCCAGAAGGTCTACACAGAACAGAAGATCAACGAACATATCAGAGGAAAGATCCTAAACATTCCTATAGAAATTCCCAGACAACACACAGAATATTTTAAATTTGACTTTTCAACACACAGACTTTTCCACACCAAAATTTAACTAACCGTTCACATAAATTTTCTCTCTTGAGTGTATCAGGTACAGAAGTCTGAAAATTATTTTGCAATGTGAATGACATATTGGGATAGTTTTCAGAATCTATCTGGATAGTGGTCAGAATAGTTTGTTTATTATTCCAGGGGGGCTGTGAGAGGGGGGGGCCTTAGGCCACCCCCGATCTAGTAGCTGCTAGCACACCCTACGCTGCACATCGGACTAGCACAATCCATTCCTCATGCCTTTGAAGATCTGCAAAACTGCGAGGTGGCGTCGAGGACTGAGGACAAGGGGAGAACAATCGACAGCTTGCAGTTTGGTACAAAAGAGGCGCTGCGTTTTCTGCTGACTTGGGCTTTGTTTCAAGGTGCCAAACACATCCAGCTAATCACGGAGATGTCACTGCATCGTTGGTATTTGCTTGCTGCCTCTCAGTTCTACTGAACACTCTGATGATCAAAGATGATCAGACATTGGGATGGAGGAGAGACAATCCGATATCTTGCCGATGATCGCTCTGACTCTAATTAGTTGGTTGAATCTACTAGCCTGTTCACCGAGGCCCAAGAAGATAAATCAAAAGCTGCAGCGAGAGAAGCTGAGCAGGAAGAGGTCACGTAAGAACGTTGCTGTGGTGCTTGGTCCTTGTGCCCTCATCCCTCTTGGATCCTCTTAAAGTAATCTATGCTTCCTCTTGCAGAGTTTCATCATTGTTTGTGCTCAGTGCGCAGCAGTTCAGAATTTATAGTGAGGCAATGTAAGGCAAATGTTTGTTTCTTTTAATTGACCACCTATCCAATGCCAATATTTGGCAAACTCATATAATTTGTAAGATATAGTTCCTGTGTACTTGGCACAGTTTCTGCATTGCTCAGTCATTGCTTTATCAAACCATTTTATTGCTAACCCCATGTTCACTTCGAAAACAATCCAAACTCGAGCAACAGCAGCTCTATGCCGTTGTGTGCCTGTATACGGCCAGGCCATCCAAGAAGCCAAGCAAGCCAAAGCTCGGGTGAGATTGCCAAGAGAAAACTTCAACGATTGCGAAGAGATGGACTTTGCACTTTTTGGCAAACAACCTTGGTTTGATCCGATTTTTTGGGGTGGATGGTCTGATCTTGGGTGCACAAGGACGAATGACGTGCCTTGCATCGTCTACGGACGTGAGGGATTGGATGGCCTGGAGAAAATATCTCCATCAGCTTGACCTAACAGTTGATGCTCAAGTCCTCAAACCTAATTTTGAAAAGCGAGGAGTTTTCCTGGACTCCTGGGGAAGTAGCTTGTTTTGCCAGAGCTGAGTGGATAATTCCAAGGCAGAGGCAGACGCCAATTCCATGGAGGAGCACAGTGATTTGAATCAAAATCGCAACTTGGCAGCACAAACTGACTTGTGTCACCTGTCA